TATATATATATATATAATATGCTTGCAGATATTTAGAAAACATGCTAACTTCACATACTTGTTTCTCTAAAAACAATGCTACAGCCAGTTATTCTGGTTTGAAATGGGTGTTCCATCTTGGCACTTAGAGTTTTTGTTTTGGTCTGTGGGATTCCACTTACTGCCAATTTACCTTATAATGATTTGGCACACTGGGTTGCCAGTTGGCAGAAAAAATGCCAGCAAACGAACTGGGTCAGATTGCAGATTCTACCCAACCTCAAAAGCCTCGCCATCTGTCTAAAACAACTCTATGACCAGAGGCATATTAACACACAAATAAATCAACTCATCAACTTACAGTGTAAGGCTTTATGTTGTGTGTCCTCAATTTGACCACCCATGTGAGCATCCAGACTGAAGAGGAGGGGGCGGGGAAAAAAACTGCAGTACCCATTTCAACCTCTAGCTGTCAATATTACAAACTCCACCTTTAAAACATGCAAAACTCCAAAAACGTACATACATTTTGCAACAGTTTCCAGCTGAAATGAACACTTGTAGCAATAAAACACCAACAAATACAAATACTTAAAACACTTTTGCCATAGTGCAGGAATTTTAAACTAATACATTTTGGCGTTTGCATCATGTAACCAACTCCACATGTATTGTATGGCTTCTCTGATGTAGTAAACTTGCTCGGTAGCACACCTGGTTGCACTCAGGGTTGCCAGATCTGGGTAACAAAACATTATTCACGTGAAACAACGTAATAAAATGTAGCCACAGACAGTCATGTTAAACTGTTTCAAAGAAAATTGAATGCACTGAAACTGCCACAATATCATTTTTTTTTCCAAAAATGATTGTCTCCACAGGTTCACATTTTTTCATGAGCCTGGGTTGCTAAGTTTTAAACTGTTACATTGGTATTGGTTAATAATTTTCTTCATTTTTAGGGCCCATGACACAGAGGTTTCACCCAAAGTCAGGAAATCCTAGAAAATTAGCGCGATCAAAATGTGAGTATTATATAAAATTATGACAATTAACTTTGGTGGGTTTTATTCTTATGATTTCTCACAGGATTTTCTCACTTAATCTTTATTTTGCATCTTTGTAAAAAAAAAAGTTTGCTTTGACCTGATCATGGTATTATAAAGTTTGCACATTTGTATTTGTGAATCACAGCCTCTGCTGGTGCTGAGAAGAGCTTGGAGTGTGTGAGGATCGTCCTGATTGGAAAAACTGGAGTGGGAAAGAGTACCACTGGAAACACCATCCTAGGACGTCATGAGTTTAAGTCAAAAACCAGCATGAAATCTGTGACCAAGACATGCCAAAGAGAGACTGGAGACACCTGTGGTCGACCTGTGACTGTGGTGGACACACCAGGACTCTTCGACACGACTCTCAGTAATGAGGAGATCCAGCAGGAGATCATGAGATGCATTGAACTCTCGACTCCTGGACCGCATGTGTTTCTGCTGGTCATCGCTGTCGGCCCAATCACACAAGAAGAGAGAGAAACTCTTCAGCTCATCAAGATGACCTTCGGACAGAAAGCAGAGGCCTACACTATGGTGCTGTTCACACGAGGAGACAATCTTACAGATGAAAGCATTGAAGACTACATTAAAGAAGGAGATCCACACGTTCAGAAACTGATAAATGACTGTGGAGGAAGATTTCATGTGTTCAATAATAAACAGAAGGATCCTGCTCAGGTCGTGAGTCTGTTAAAGAAGATTGATAAAATGATGTGGGATAATGACCCCGATTTCTATAATGACAAAATGTTTCAGGAGGCCGAGAGAGCATTCAGACTCATGCAGATCAATAGAGAGAGAGAAGAGGAGGTCAGACAAGAAATCAAGGCCATTAAAGCTAAATATGAGTCTGAAATCAAAGAAATTCAAGACCAACTAGAAGAGGAAAAAACAAAAGGAAAAGTTAGAGAATTTCTGTTTGTGGAGAGAGAGTTCACACTGTTGAGACAAGAGAGAGAAAACACAGTGACAACAAACACTGAACAAACCCATGTCGAGAGAAAGAATGATGATCAGATTGAAAAGCAGGAACATCAGCTTACAGGAACAACAGATCTGGATAGAGAGATACCTAAACCTGGAAGAGAATCTGACCAAGATCGTAAGAAACATGTTAAAAAATGGAGGGGGTTGGAATCCTTAAAAAGAGGGTTAAAGCTAAGGAAAAAGACTGAGAGGACAGAAGAATGTAAAACAAAAGAAGCAGCAAGTGGAGAAGAGAATGTAGAAAAGATAAAAGATAGAGTCACAGACCAACAGAGCAGTGAGGATTTACCTAAAACCTCTGACGATGAGAGAAACGCAGAGAAAGAACAACTAAATCAGCATTATAAAGAAATGGAAGAATGCAGGCAGAAGATGGACGAGGCCATGAGGAGATACAAAGAGACGGCTGATATGTATGCTGCAGAACGCATGAGAATTGAAGCCAGAAATGTTCAGATCATTGACAGCTGGGAGAAGGACCATGGAAAATCCTGTGCCCTTCAATAACAGACAAAAAAATATTTGATAAATGCATGTTTTTGCTTCATAAGGTGCTGTCAAGTTAAAACGTTTTTGAATTATTGAATTCCCTTGTTGGGTTTCATTTTGTTGCACTCCTATGTGAATGTTACCTGAAACACTGGACTTAAATACATGCCAGTGTTGAATGACAAGAATTACCGTGCATCACAGGACTACCAATTGGAAAATTCTGTTGCACTGCCTGTATTTAACAGTTTGGGCATTGCAATACTACAGCATGACTGGTCCACGCTACACCTCTCTTTATCTCCCCACACTGACTATTGGTTGCAGCTCACATCAAGTGCAAGATATTAAAGGTTTAGCTCACCCATGAAAATTTGCTTGTGTTTTACTCACCCTCGAAGCATCCATGTGTATATGACTTTCTTCTTTCAGACGAATCCAGTCGGAGTTATATTAAAAATGGTCCTGGCTATTCCGAGCTCTATCACTGCAGTCAGCGGGTGTTGCAGTTGAACAGTCCACAAGTCGTCAAATAAAGCTCGCGCATTCATAATAAAACGTGCCACAGATGGCTCCGGGGGTGAATAAAGGCCTTCTGTAGTGAATCCATGCGTTTTTGTAATACGTAACGTAATAAACACTTTTCTCTCACTTCCGTTATCTGTCATATGCGGATCTGTTCCGGCGGAAGGCGTATGACGTATGCGCAGCACACGCACCTCTGAGATATGCCAGTTTCGCAAATTTGTTTATAGGAGCAAAGGAAGCAAAGTTTCCTTACTTTAGCACAGGAAAACCAGTCTCCTCTTGGTTTATATCGAAATCTTCCGACATTTTTCTTTGCAAATCCTCGGTTTGTACTTTCAATTCATGACCGGCGTTTTGTTTTGTTCTTTCTCCGCATTCGTCACTAATCACACAACGCCGACGTGCTGCATCATCCGCCGGCACGGCTTCCGCGTACCACAGTTAGATGAAGTGAGAGAGAAGTGTTTATTACGTTTAAAATATGGATATGTTTCTTACAAAAATGCATGAATTCACTACAGAAGGCCTTTATTCATCCCCCGGAGCCGTCTGTGGCACGTTTTATTATGAATGCGCGAGCTTTATTTGACGACTTGTGGACTGTTCAACTGCAACACCCGCTGACTGCAATGATAGAGCTCGGAATAGCCAGGACAATTTTTAATATAACTCCGACTGGATTCGTCTGAAACAAGAAAGTCATATACACCTAGGATGCATCGAGGCTGAGTTAAACACAACCTAATTTTCATTTTTGGGTGAACTAAACCTTTAATGCTGGCATACAGAACTTTACATCAACTTCAGGAAGCCTGCAGTCTATGAATCACAGAAAGGCACAGGATCACTTTCCAGAACCTTCTTGTTCACTGTTCCTTGCTGGTGAAATGATCTACTTAACCCTATCTGGACAGCCGAATCCCTGACGATATTCAAGAAGAAGCTGACAACCCATCTCTTCCATGAGAACTTAACTGCCACCTATTGAAAATCAAATCAAAAACAATACAACATAATACATAACAATTTAAAATTATACATGTCCAAAACATATTGCAATTCTATAAAGAATTGCTCTTTGTTACACTCGCGCCTGATGGCCGCTCACACATCAGATGTACTTGTGTGTGGAAAGAACAGCATATATCAAAGTAAAAGAGGTAAGGTCAGAGGGCATGTTCATACAACTTTTTCTTTTTACTACATCAGACTGTAAATCTCCTGTATTAAACCCATACTACTTCATACTACTTAAAGGGATACTCCACCCCAAAATGAAAATTTTGTCAACCACTTGCCCCATGTCGTTCCAAACCGTAAAAGCTTAGTTCGTCTTCGGAACACAATTTAAGATATTTTGGATGAAAACCGGGAGGCTTGTGACTGTCCTATTGACTGCCAAATAAATTACACTGTCAAGGTCCAGAAAAGTATGAAAAGCACCATCAGAATAGTCCATCTGCCATCAGTGGTTCAACCGTAATGTTATGAAGCGACAAAAATAACGACTTTATTCAACAATTCGTCTCCTCTATGTCTGTTCGTATCACCATAGCGCCATTTTGGAGAATATGAGCTGAACGCAGGCAGCGTATGCTCTTCTGTGTCAGCCACGCCACACGTTCACCTCATATTCTCCAAAATGGCGCTATGGTGATGTGGACAGACATAGAGGTATTTATTTTATGTTCGGAATAAAGTCTAAAAATAAATCCAATTCAGCAAAAAAAGTGAAGTTTGTGTGTTGCTGCTGTTACAAAATTTATTTATTTTTTTATGTTTGTTTCTTTCAGCGTTCTTTTTATTTAAAAACATGGTTGGTGCATCTTATGTTTTGCAAAAAAATAAACACTGTTTGAATTGTTAATAATCTGTCTCTGTCTGTCATTGAAGTTATGTATTTATTGTAATGACCTTAAAAAGTGGATTCAGCATTGAGGAAAATTCGCATATTTTTACTCAAAAATAATACATTTATAGTATAATTAATTTGTAATGTACTCGTAATACAAAAAAAGTACACTTTAATATCACTAATCAAGCATGTAAATAGGCATATACTTAAAGTGTACTAAGTGTACTTGAAGTTGTTCCAATTTAGCACATAAAAGTACACTAAATACACTTAAGGTTATGCTTTACTACAATTTAATTACAATTAAAATATACTTAGTACAAAATTAGTTGTTACAAAATAGCACACTTCAAGTTAACTAATCATTAACACACTTAAAGCATACTGACAATTAGTCTGGCTGCAAGTATACTTGGTATACTTTTTTTTCACTTGGGGTTACCTACAAATATTACACTTGAAACTTTTCTAACTATTACACTTAAAGCTTTGGATTTGACAGCACATACATAGATACACATTTCATTTGTGTATGTCTCTAAATAATAGCTAAATAAATGATTTACAGTTGATAAGTAGTAATTTTAAGTGAAAGATGGGATGATTCATGCATTTTTTTTATTCTGTCCACTTTGACACCAGTGTTTTAAGCATCTGTCTTTTAGGTCTGATCCAGAAAACAGATACTGTGTTCCCTGTTTTAATTTTTTTTTTGTTCTTTTTATGAAAACATGTGGTAAGCAGTTTTTGTCCTCAGCAGAATATCAACATGTTTTAACACACCGTCAATTTCAATAGTTAGTTAGCAAATGCAACTGTTTATTACTGAGAAAAGTCACATCAAAGTTGGATTCTTGTTTATATTGAACATTGTTTCATCTAGCTACATGTTAACAGTGCTAGTGTTATTGGCCTCATCAAAGTTCACACGAGTCACTTTTTTTTTTATTGTAGAATACTGAATATGAAACCAGACCAAATATTAACATGTAACAGTTTGGAGACATTTGTGTTTTTATGCTTATTTGATTTGTGTGCATTTCTCCCGAGACACACTGTTTTTAAATTGTTTACCAATTTTAGCATCATCAATCTCAACATATTGCTGTGATTGTAATGTTTTGTGTGTGTCTTCTTACCTTTCCTTCTTTCATAAGGTCCAGACAGTTTTGTTGCACATCTAATTTCCTGTTTTCTGAGGCCTGCTGTGCCAACATGTTTCTCAGCTCTAATTTACGATGTTCCAATTGGAGAAGTGCTGATTCTTTTTGTTGCTCAAAGGTCAGTGTTACAGAAGAAGGTGCATCCGCTGCAGATTACATAATTCTTAATACATAATTATTTATAAGAGCCACTTTTAAAACAGTTTGAATTCTCTTTCTGTTTCTTATCATTTGTGGAAAAAAACAATATCATAATGCATTTCAATTTCAATCAATTGATCTTTTGTTAACAGGTTTAAAATTTACTTTTCAACAAATTCACTTAATTTGACTGATGTCATATTCAGTAATTATACACACTCCAATCAACAATGTCAATCAATGATTCTATACAAAACTCTTTAAAATTAAATCCTTACCTTCAAAGCTGTCAAAATAGAGAGAAAAAAAATGCCCTGACGATTAACTTTCACAACCTACCTATACATACAGTAAACCTAACTAAGCAGACCCTAAACTTCAAGCATACTGCAGTGGTGGGTATTTATGCACCTAATACCATAAGCGGAGAAGAACAACCAATTAAATTGGTGATTCCCTCAAACCTCGGCGTGCTCCCGAGACACAGTTCCAACCACCGATCTGCTCAAAAATAACACACAAAAAAAAAAACGGACATACCCCAAAAGCAAATGCGGCTTAATCCTACCAGTGAAACTAATCCCAGGGCTTTCCAATGATTGGACACTATTCAACAACAAAATGCACTCGCTTCTTCTACAAATTTTAACAAAAGAAACTTCCCAATCCTGTTACCAGGACTAAATATTACAAAGACACTAACAAATTTGAAATATTGAAAATCCCTCTGCAAAATAAATCCTAATTACTACAAATCCAAAAACAACACAACATATTAACTAATCACCAAAGTTGTCTTTAAACAAAAACAAAACGCCAAATCAAAACTATAAGTTTAGGATGAGCCCCCCCGGAGGGTCACTACAAATAAGGAGATGTGTGCATTTGCGTTGAAAAAACATTTAAACTTTATTTAACCATCAAGCCTAAAATGAACCATTATTAAACCCGTCTCGATCCAGGAAGACAGGGCACGAAGACTGGAGAGCTGACACTGGATCCAACCAAGAGCAGAGACCTCCACCAAGAGAAAATAGATGTTTTATAGAGAAAGAATCATTGTACCCAATCGAGCAGCAATCAGCCGGACACCTGCAGAGAACACACAGATGCAACACACACACCCAAACAAGTAGGGACCGAAAGTGAAGTCACAATACTGTATATACAGTAGGGTAAACCCCCCAACCTTTAATGTTCCTCTTGACCACAGATGGTGAAAAACTCTCTTCAGCATATTTAGAAATATTGTGCGCTAATTAATGTTGACATTACATCTGAGCAACGATATTTGCAGTGATGTTTAGTATCTAAGTACAAATACTTTTTTACATTTAAGTACCATTTTTGGATGTTGCTACTTTACTCAAGCATAAACATTTTTCAGACTTCTAATTTTACTTTACTACATGCTAAAGAAAAAAAAGGATACTTTTACTATATTTGCAACTGCAGAGTGCAAAAACAGAAAACAAACACCATCAGGATGTTCTCGGATTTCGGAGTTCATGTCAGGCTCAGAGAGAAGAGTTACAAGCCAAATATGAGATGGACATTAAAAACCTGATGAAGAGACTCGAGGAAGAAAAACAAAGAGCTGATGAGGAGAGAATGAAGATGCAGAATCAATTCAGAGAGAAAGAGGAAAAACTCAGAAAAGAGTTTAACGTTAGTTTTTTTTTTTTGGTCCAAAAAATAATACTTTTTTTTTTTTGGCAGGTTAATGGTTCAGTTTATTCAAAACTGTTCTTATTCTTGTAGAACTCATTTCAGCAAATTGCCTCTCATTGTTTGTAATGTGGTGTTTTGGGTTGTGTTTCTTGTTCATGTTTTCATGTCTTTTATTTTGGAGTTTAATCATGGTCCCTGTTAGTGTCATGCTTCCCTTGCCCTCATGTATTCATGCCATTGGTTCCTCTGTTCATTGTGTCATGTTCTGATTGGTTGTCTTAGTCATGTGTCTTGTTTCCCATTGGTTTGTTCATGTCATGTGACCCTCCTTGTTGGCTATAAGTAGCCATCATGTTCCCATAGTCTTCGTCGTGTAACTCCAGGACCTGCTCACATCATGCCAGTTAAGTCAAAATGTATTTTAATATATAAGGCATATCTACCAAGTCAGAACATGTTCACTTCCTGTCTACCAAGCCAAAGTCTGCTAACGTCATGTCTGCTACCCCAGGGCCTGCTCACGTCATGCCGGCCAAGATGGCCACCACGCCTGAGTCCCCGGCCAAGATGGCCACCACGCCTGAGTCTCCGGCCAAGATGGCCGCCACGCCTGATCCCGTTGACGTCTGAGCTCTCAAGCCCAACCATCTTAGAGGTCCTGCCACACTCTGCTGCACTTCCTGTAATGGCGTTCGCCATTTTGAGCGTGTGGGCTGCACTGCGTTCCAGAGGCCTCTCCTGTCCACGCGTCTGCTCCTGAGGCCTCTCCTGCAGAACTCACAGACTGTCTTATCACGGCCACGGAGGCTGTTCATGAACTCACAGACTGCCCTGACACGGCCACGGAGGCCGTTCACGAACTCATTGTCTGCCCTGTCACGGCCAAGAAGGCCGCTCACAAACTCACAGTCTGTCCTGCCACGGCCAAGGAGGCCATTCAATAACTCTCTACTTGTTCTGTCTCAGGCAAGTGGTCTGTCCATGTCTCTGCTCCGCCATGGCTCCCTGATCTGCCTGCTCCGCCATGACTGTAACAGTTATATTGTTACATCTGTCCCCAGTCTGTGTTAGGGTAGCTTGTAACAACGGACCTCTTTGTGTTTGACATTAACTCACATAATCTGTCATTGTGTAGTACAGGCCAAGTGAGTGAAAGGGTGGTTTCCCTACAGTGGTTCAGGCTGTAGGATTGCCGAAGGACTAAATAAATGTTATCAGCACAATGGAGCACAAACTGTACATTTCTTGTCTATTACCACCCACTGCCACTTACACCAACGACGGAAATAAGCGCAGTTAGAATAGCTAAATATGTGGGAGAGCGTTGTTATTGTGTGACCATATTGTTTTGCACTAGGTAGTACTTCAATGTTAATGTTGAATCAAGACTAGTTAGCACAGTTTATAAATGAATTTTTTTAATAACAGTATTTGGTTATAGTTACACTTGAATTGATTACAAAATAAATGAAGGATGGTTAAACATAAACAATTAATTGTACACAGCATAGTGTACACAGGGATAAAAGAAGACAGCATTACATAATATTTTATAATATATAATATTTTACCGGAGAAAGGGCAGAGCCCCAAGAAGAGAGTGCCAGCAAAGGAAAGAGACAGAGCAACAGTTACAGTCTTCTTTTATCCCTTCCTTGACCATGTGACTAAAAACCAAATGTGAGACATTCAAACTGACCAATCAGCAGATTACAGCTTCACTCACTGTGCAAAAGGTGTGACAGACCTTGAACACTATCAGCACTTCTGTGCCTTCAGTAATGCCAAATGGACTTTTGTTACTCAAGATATGTTTGGAACAGGAAAGCAGAAGTCTTTGATCATTTTCAGCCTTACTTGAGTTTTATTTGCAGTAGACAAATGTGGCTACCGTGTATGTTGTTTGAGAAATCCAGCACAAACAACCACTGAGTTACTGATGCTCGAACAAAAAAGTGTTACTTTCATCCCCTTTTAGTTGTATAGACAGTCACATAAAACACATCAGATGCAGCACAGTTTGGTAGATATGAGTTCACAATTAAAAGGCATCACAGAATGACCTATTTTTTTTAAATAGGCTTTTCAGTTTCCCAAATTTGTCTCTGAAAATAATAATAATGAAAAAAAAAAAAACATTTTTATCATTTCATTTATGCTTATGCTTATGGTATCTCACCAGAAGAAAATCTGTTCAATTGTGGAAAACCAAAACTAAATCTGGAAAATTATATTTGGCTCCCTGATGAATATGAGAGTTTCACATAAGTCTACACCATTTATTTTTTAAATCTTCAATATGTTTTTTCAGATTTGTCACTTCTTCACTTTTCTCATCTTTGAAGTGTTGATAGAGTTTGTCCAGTAATTCGTATTCTTTCTGACGTTCTTCCAGCATCTGTTGGAGCTGCTGAATGTGCTGCTCTTTTCTCTTTCTGAAATCATTAAATTCTTCTGCTTGTTTTCTGGCTTCATCTTCAAGTTTCTTCTTTATGACTTTTATTTCCTCTTCATGTTTCTGTTTCATTTCATCTCTCTCTTTCTCTTCTCTTTCTTTTCTCTCATTCTCCTCTCTTTCTCTTCTCTTGAACTGTTCTTCTTGCTCTTGTTTCAGATCTTCAATCATTTTCTTCCATCTCTTTCTCTCTTCTTCTCGTCTCTCATCATCTTCTTGTTTTCTTCTCTCCCACTCATCTTTTCTTTCTCGCTCCAGCCGCTCATAATGTCTTTCCATTTCAGTTTTCTTGTCTTTATATTCTCTCTCTTTTTCTTCTCTTTCTCTTCTCTCTTTCTGTCTCTCCTCTTCTATCTTCTGTCGTTCTTCTTCTTTCTCTCTTTCAAATTTCTTTCTCATTTTCTCCAGTTCTTCTTGTTTTTCTCTCAGTTGTTCCTCATGTTTCTCTTTTCTCTTTCTTTCCTCTTCCTCTCGTTCTCTCATCTGTCGTTTCTTTTCATCCTCCCATTCTCTCTGCTGTCGTTTAATTTCCTCTTGAGTCTCTTTTCTGTCAATTTCAGCCTCTTTTATTTTTCTCACCCATTCTTGTCTCTCTTTCTCTTCTTGTTCATTTCTCCTTTTCTCCTCCAAATCTCTCTTTTTTATTTCTTCTTCTTCTTTCATCTTTAACTGTGTCATAACACATTCTTGTTCATGTTTCATCTTTTCTCGATCTTGTTTGTATTTCTCTTCTCTCTTTCTATCTTCTTCTTCTCTTTCTTTCTGCTGTTTTTCATACTGCAATCTCTGATTTTCAATCTCTCTCTTCATTTCTTCTATATTTTGATGATATTCAGCTTGTTGCTGTTTTTCCTCTAGTGTTCGCCTCTGTTTTTCGATCTCTTGTTTCATTTGTTCCATTTTTTCTTTCTCTTCAAACTCTTTTCTGAGTTTTTCCTCATTTTCTCTGAATTGATTCTCCATTTTCATTCTCTCCTCACCTGCTCTTTGTTTCTCTTCCTCAAGTCTCTTCAACATGTCTCTCACTTCTCTGTCATATTTGGCTTGTAACTCATCTTTCTGAGTCTGAATTTCTTTTTCTCTCTCTTTCATTATTTCCTCCATTCTCTTCTTAATGGACATCTCTGCCTCCTCAAACATGCTGTTAGTGAAGTATCGACCCTCATTAGTGTTCTTCACCTCTTCTATCATCTTTAACAGTTGAATCACTTGAGTTCTGTCTTGATTGTCATTGTTATTGAAAGCCAGGAATCTGTTTCCACAATCTCTGATCAGTTTCTTGACCTCAGCATTTTTTCCTCTCTCCACATATTTTTCTATAGATTCACCCTTGAGATTATCTCCTCTAGTGAAAAGAACGATGCTGAACTGAGCAGCTTTTGGACCAAATATCTTCTTTATCAGATCCACAGTGTCTGCTTCTTCCTTGGTAAATCTTCCCAAACTCAACACAATGACAAACACATGAGGTCCAGGTGACGACATTGAAACACATTTCACTATTTCTTCCACCGCTTCTTCATTTGAGAGTGATGTGTCAAAGAGTCCTGGAGTATCAACAACAGCTACTGATCGACAATCAACTTCACCAACTCCCTTCTTACAGTCAGTCGTCACTGAATCCATGCTTGCTTGACTCTCAAACTCATCTCTTCCCAGAATAGTGTTTCCTGTTGCACTCTTTCCATTTCCTGTCCTCCCGATCAGCACAATCCTCAAACTCTCCAGATCATCTGAACATTCAGCACCTGAAACTAATGTATGTATACATGTGTTAATATCATGCAGTTATAGGCACAAGCTTCACATGCAAGTGTTAAACTTGGAGCTTAAAGGGACCGTCACTCAAAAATAAAAATTTGCTGTTCATTTACTCACCCTCAGGCCATCCAAAATCTAGGTGACTTTTTTTTCTCTTTAGCATAACAGTAAAGGTTTTTAGGTGAAACCGTTGTCCTTGGTGATTCATAAACTGCACATCGTGTGCTTTATTGTTCATCAAAATGGTACTTACCTGTGCTTATCGTGGATGCTAGAACAAATTTTTAAAAGATTATGTTTGCATGTGCAATCCTATTCGGGAAGATTGATTTTCACAGATTTCCGACATGTGATCCAGATCAATTCTACCTCTGTTGTCATTGCATGATACTTGAACATGAAAACACCACAGCTCAAGAGCCCTGTCTCACTGACTACGTTTACATGCACATCAGTAATCTAATTATTTACCTTATTCTAAATAAGACAATATTATGATTAAGGTGTTTACATGAGTTGCTTTTAGAATATTCCTTTCATGTTCCCGTTTTACATGTTATAGTACATAGTTCGATTAATGGCACACGTCATTATGTCCCAACATGATGCCATCCGACGTCCCCTCTGGAATTTCACATATAAATGTCTTCGTGATGATGCCATGTACAGTTTTGGGTGTTTCATTTTTTAATTTTATGAAAGCTTCAAGTGCAGTTAATTATTTGTACGTGCATACAGACGACGGCGGCGTTGAGGCTCTTTTATTTGCTGTCAAACGGCTGAGCACTGCCGTGTGTGTATCCTGTCGCAAAATGCGAAAAGTCCTACACGAAGGTAATAGTGTGATTAAGGTGTTTACATGTCTATACTGCACTTCAATAATGCGACTAAAATAGGAATACTCCACATGTCTTAATTCGATTAGTGTTTACTTCGATTATGACTTTAGCCGGATTAAGGTAATCAAAAATCTCTGTTTACATGGTAGATTCTTAATCAGAGTATTGTCTTAATCATATTAAATTCGAAGTATTGTTGTCCTTGTAAACGTTGTGACTGAGATTTGTGGTTGTGCTCCTGCTTCCTCCATCTCTCTCAGGGTGTACTCACACTAGGCGATCTGAACTGAACCCCCAAAGTCTGCTTCCTTTGATTAGTGTGATCACTCCGTACTGCGCTGTTTGCAGTTCGTTTGGCCATCCCTGGCTCTCTTGGAAGAGGTGGGCCAGAGCACGGTTCTGTTGGGTTTGGGCGCGGTACACATGTGTGATCGCTAACCGAGCTGGAGCATGGAACAGCTATTATTTTGTGTGCGCTACTGTCATCATTACGACCGCAAACATATTCTATCACTACTACTACAGCACAACATTTTCAATTAATTTAATTAAATCAAGTATATTTAGGTTTATAATGGGTCTGGTTCTCACCTTATTGATGAACAGGAATTGTAGTTTGCGAGTAAAGCTGCAAATTGAGCCCGGTCTTATGAAAATGCATATCAATAGCATTATTTTCGGTTTCTATTTGGCGTGATATTTATCTGCAGAAATTTACTTTGGTGTGCATATAATACGCAGTTGGCATAAATGAATTTATTAGGCAGTCTATTAGTGAAAATGGTTTCTTCCCTGTTTTCTCATACATGACGTAAGCGCAGGGGCGGACTTAGTGATTTGGGGGCCCTAAGCAAATTCCAGATATGGGGCCCCAACAGAATAACTATATGTGCTCTTTTACGCCTAACCCTTATTTTGCTTGCACGCTCTCATAGTTTATAGTTTATTTATCCCTTCACAACCAGTAATAAGTCAATCTGATACTGTTATAAAGCCATATTAGGCTATCTTATTTGGGGGTTTTTTTAGCACAAAACAGTACACCCTCAGTTCTTGGTCCTCATTCTCCATTCTAAACAAACAGCGTCAGTATACATGTGAGTATGCGCCCGCACTTACACAGAGCTGGGTAGATTACTTACAAATTGTAATTCATTACTTCAGATTACATGATAGGAACTGTAGTTAGTAACGTAATCTAGGTTACTCATTTTACAATGTATTCTGACTATTTTTTTTTAATTAATTTTAGATTGTTTTATCTAATTTGTATTAAACCTGTCATTAAGCATAGCATATTGATATAAAAAATCAAATAGAAAGAAAATATATTCTTTTTTTTTACATCAACATCATAACATGCATTAAACATTACATTACACCGGGGTTTCCCAAACTAAGTTTAATGTAAGAACTGCAGTGGGTTTGTGAGTTGATAAAACCCTGGTAATTAATTAAATCATAAAAATTTAAAATACACTAAACAAAATTATAAATGCAATACTTTTTTTTCTGCATGCTCGTCGTCTTCATCGGGGTCTCGACCTGACTGCAGTTAGTCGTCGTAACCGACTTGAGCAGGCAAATGCTCACATTCGATGGCGTCTGGCACTTTGGAGAGGTGTTCTCTTCACGGATGAATCCCGGTTTTCACTGTACAGGGCAGATGGCAGACAGCGTGTATGGCGTCGTGTGGGTGAGCGGTTTGCTGATGTCAACGTTGTGGATCGAGTGGCCCATGGTGGCGGTGGGGTTATGGTATGGGCAGGTGTATGTTATGGACAACGAACACAGGTGCATTTTTTTGATGGCATTTTGAATGCACAGAGATACTGTGACGAGATCCTGAGGCCCATTGTTGTGCCATTCATGCCATTCATCCATCACCTCATGTCGCAGCATGATAATGCACGGCCCCATGTTGCAAGGATCTGTACACAATTCCTGGAAGCTGAAAACATCCCAGTTCTTGCATGACCAGCATACTCACCGGACATGCCACCCATTGAGCATGTTTGGGATGCTCTGGATCGGCGTATACGACAGCGTGTTCCAGTTCCTGCCAATATCCAGCAACTTCGCACAGCCATTGAAGAGGAGTGGATCAACATTCCACAGGCCACAATCAACAACCTGATCAACTCTATGCGAAGGAGATGTGTTGCACTGCTTGAGGCAAATGGTGGTCACACCAGATACTGACTGGTTTTCGGACCCCCCCCAGACCCCCAATACAGTAAAACTGCACATTTTAAAGTCTTAGATCTTTGAGTTCAGCTCATGAAAAATGGGGGCAAAAACAAAAGTGTTGTGTTTATAATTTTGTTCAGTATAAATTATTCAAACATTTGACCACTAAAAATAGAAATATTAAATTTGATTACTTGCATGTCAATGTGACCATTAAGCATCCTCAAACAGATCTTTCAAGTAAATATATCATGTCAAAGGGGCTTAGCCGACAAAAAACATTTGTGAATCCCTGCATAACATGAACAAACATTAATAAACATGAAAACATAAATGGCATTACATGCCCATACATTTTTTGTCTAGACTTCCAGACTCAACAGTTACTGAAGGATATGATGATGACACAGTGTTTCACAGCAATACATCACCAGTTTTTGAGAGGTGCTTTCCCTTTCAGTCGGTCACTATGAGTCACGTTGGGACAGACGAATTGGGATCTCGCTTAGAGAGACCAATCCACTTTGAGTGTAAACTAAACGAGCCAATGCACATTGGCATGCGATGATTGCATCCAGCTGCCACTGATCACAGCGTGAGCATAAAAAGGCAGCCGGTGCAATGCATACCAGCTTTTCACTTTGGAGCCGAGCGACAACATCGTTGTCAACATCGCACTACCCCCTGTCGTGCTGCAAGCGACCATTTACCCAGTGCGTCTCAGCACGTAAAAGAGCATTTCCCTAAAAGAGCCAATTTCTCTAAAAGAGTACAATAAGCGGGTGCGTCTTTGTAAAGACGACGGGTTGTCTTTTTAAAGATGCTGTTTCACCCGTGCGTTTCTGGATGCGGTCGTTACCTGGCGCCGGGTGATGTTCACGATCGCTGCCTGACGTGTCTGGGCATTAAACACGCTGAGTTGGCGTTCGCAGATGAGTCATGTTCCCATTGCGGGAAGATGACCATCTCGTAGCTGCGGGCCAGGCTCCGTTTCCTCCAGGAGGGCGGAGCTGCGTTGCCTCTGCCGCGATCTAGTGTTCGTCCTGGCGGCAGCCAGGCGTGGACTACTTCGGGCAGTTGCACGGGCGGTCTGAGGGTTACAGTGGTGGCAAACCCCTCAGGGAACCAACCCTTGGGAGACCATCGCTCCTCTAGCACTTCGCAACCAGTTGAGCCGCCAAAGTAAAGCGCTGGGCCCTCTTCAAGGAAGCGTACCAGCAGTATCCTTTGGTGCTCCTCCCGACGACCAGATGTCGAACACTGCATCGGAGGGAGAGCTCTCTGTAGAGGAAGATTCGACTGCGCTGCCGCCCTCTGGGATGGTGGCAAGGCCTGAATCGGATCCAGAGATGTCGGCTATGCTTTCCCGGGCCGCCGAGAGGGTAGGGCTCGAGTGAAAACCTCCACCGCGTCCCGGGCCCTCGAGGTTGGACGATTGGTTTCTTGGGGTGGCTCACGCTGTTTCTCAACTACCTCAACGACTGGCTCATATTAGCTCAGTCTCAGCATCAGTTGTGTGCACACAGGGACTTGGTGCTTTCGCACCTCAGCCGGTTGGGCCTTCAGGTCAGGCATGCTGTGGTTTACACGGATGCCTCCACCACCAGCTGGGGGCCCACGTACAATGGGCATGCAGTGTCGAGGGTGTACTGCACTGGCAGATCAATTCCCTGGAGTTGTTAGCGGTGCGCCTTGCCTTGATCCATCTCAAAGGGCGATTACGAGGCAAGCACGTGCTGGTCCAAACAGACAACACGGCGACCGTTGCATACGTCAACCGACAAGGTGGTCTGCGCTCCCGTCGCATGTCGCAACTCACCTCCTTCTTTGCAGTCGGAAGGGTCTGAGGTCACTTCGTGCCATTCGCATTCCGGGTCTGCTCAACCGTACGGCCGATGAGCTGTCACTAGCTACGCTCCCGGAAGAATGGAGACTCCATCCCCAGACGGTCCAGCTGA